TTCCCTTTTTAAAAAAAACGTTTGCACTAACTGGTTTTGATAAAATAAATGTTGTAAAGAAACGAAATTTACTGCTTTTTCGGCTTTGTTTTTTTTTATTTCCATTAAAATATTTTATTTTTATTTACAGTGAAACCTAATATTTTTTTACTCAATCCAAAAAAAAAAAAATAGTGTTTTCGGTTTTAAGATGTTATAAGCAGAATTTGTTTTTAACAAATATCATTTTAATTTTGAAATTTATGTATATTATATTTATAGCTCAAGAACTAGTTTTGTTTTTAAAATAAAATAAAGATAAGTTGGGCTTTTAAAGAGTTTATTTACTGATCGCGTTATTTTTAATAGGTTTGAATTTTGGTTTGTTCAAGGAGGTATTATTAGGTTTGTTCAAGGACGTATATACGTCCTTGGTTTGTTTTATAAAAATAAATTCTTCGGCAAACGACAAAGGGAAAACCCAAACATAAGATTTATAACTCGAGTTTAAAAGTATTGACGTCATTTATTAACTTGTAGTTATAAAATGAATAATGCGCTTCTGTAAATAATGAATGAAACTGTAAAATAATGGAAAAATAAAAACTGGAAAATAATGAATAATGCGCTTTTGTTAAGCGCATTATTCGGACCAGTATTTGGAACTTACCTGAAACTTAACTAAAATAAAAATAAAGTTATATGTAATACGAACATTTTAAAGTAACTTAAATTAAATTTATTAAATCTTTTTTTACTTTGGTAATTTTATCATAAAAAAAACGGAGCATTTTAAAATTAAAAAATTTTAAAATGCTCTGTTTTAAAATTAAATGAAAGAATTTTAATTAAATTTAATAAATTTACTTACTAAAAACTATAATTATTTAAAAAATATTTAAATTTAATAAAATAAATTGAAAATATTTCTTTTTTTAAATTTGATTGTTTATAAACTTATGAAATCTAATATTTAAAATTAAATATGATAAAAAGTTTAAACTTAAAACACTTTATTTTCTTTAAGTAATTTTTAAAAACAAAAAAAAAATTATTAAACAAATTGTTTCTTTAACAAAAAATCTATTAGTTTACAATTGCGGTTAAATGCTTTTACTTACGACTTTAATACTTCTGAATGAACGTCACATAAACGATATAAAAAGATAATTTAAATAATAATATCTAAAAGATAAAAGTTTTTGCGTAACGCATAACTGCTGAACGCGTAGGTAAATCGCCTTTTCGCAGGCAAAATGCGAGCTGCGTAACCCTTCTTATCAAGGCCTGATATATATATATATATATATATATATATATATATATATATATATATATATATATATATATATATATATATATATATATATATATATAAAGCAAATAATTGCTTAAAATGTTTTAAAAAGACTAATGACAAAACTGAAACAGTTTTCTTAAAAAAGAAACATTGTACTAATAAAACTATTTTACCAGTCAGTTTAGTTCAGTCATTTTTATTTTAAAAAATAAACAACATCAATTCTTCTTGAAAATAAATGTATCAGCTCCAATTTGCTTGCTGATTTTACTTGAAAGACCGAGTGGAATGTATAACTGCGCTTAGAATTAAAAAAGTCTAGAAACAACTTAAAAACTAAGAAATAGTGTATTTTACATAATGCAGAACTGTAATCAACAAAACGAACAATAGGCGTAACAATGCGTAACTATGCGCACTAATAATATTCATTGCTGTATTAATATTTAGATATTATTACTATTAATATATTTCTAAATGTCTATATTGATATATTGTATTAGGTATTTGCTTTATATTAGTGCTCGTACTATTGTAAATATCCTTGAAATGTTAAACAACTTGTTTCAGAATTTATTTGATTTGATTTGATTTGATTTGTAGTATATTTTTATATTAATATTAAACAAAGTGAACATAACATTGTAAGTTACTTTTTCAATTTTATTAAAAAAAAAAGTATTAAAAGAAAGATTTAAAAAGAAATACAAACCCACAAGCAATCTTAGCTGATTTTAAAAATAAAATTATTTATTTTTAAAAGAGAACAAAGTAAATTAAAAAAAAATTACAAAACCACAAGCAATATTAGCCTATATTAAAAATCAAAAGATTTGTTAATAAATTTTTTCTATTGTTAAACAAACGGCAAGCAATTTAGTAGCAAATTTCTCTATAAAGTGTTTATTTTTTAGAGCGTCATGGACGACAATAAAAGTTAAGGAAAAAAATTATATAAGTGAAAGAAAAGATTATAAATAATTAAATTTTTTAGCAAATAATATTGCTATATTTTATTTTCTTCTTTTTAGTCTTTACAGAGAGTCACGATATTTAGCAATGTGAAATTAAATCGAGGTTTTTATCCTTATTAAAGAAACGGAATGTTTCCTGATTAAAGGGGACGATTGAATAAGCGGGAATTTCATAAGTGCGAACTGGCGTAAGTGCAAATGGCGTATGTACAAACTGGCATATATGCGAATTGGCATAAGTGTGAACTGGCATAAGTAAAAAGCAGTTACAAAAACTTGCACGTGAGCAAACTGGCATAAGTGCGAATTTGCATAAGTTAGCCAAAAGAATTTTGTGCAAAATGTGATAAGTGCGAACTTGCATAAGTGCATCTAATAAAATTGCAAATATTGGCATAACGCAACTTATTGTACTTCGCACTTATGCCACTTCGCACTTGTGCCAGTTTTTGCAACGCCTCGCACTTATGCTACTTTGCACTTAAGCCAGTTCGCACTTATTAAGCCTCCTGGATTAAAGAAGCAGAATATATTTTTTTAAAGGATAAAATTTTTTTATATGAAAGTAAAATAACATACAAATACCATACAAATATTTCATTTGCATTGCCACCATCGTCCTACCACATAAGCAATATATTTTTATATATTAGACAAAATTATGTTGTAAGTTATATTTTTCAAGTTTATTTAAAAAAATTTTTTTAAAAATTGTTTTTTCAAAAAGTAAATATTAAGAAAAAAGATTTAAAAAAAAGATACAAACCCACAAGCGCAATATTAGCTGATTTTAACCAAACAAACATTTTTCGATAAGTAATGAATATTTTTTAATAATAAAACAAACTTGCAAGTAGTTTAGAAGCAAATTTCTATATAAAAAGTTAATTTTATGAGTCCCTTGGATGACAAAGAAAGTTGAAGAAGAGTTCATGTTGAGTGAAAGAAAAGATTATAATAAAAGAGTAGTCTGTGGATTCAAACCTAGTTTCCCGTCAAAAGGGTGAATTCTTACGAATGTAAATGCCCAGGCCAAACGTGTGGCTATTGGAGTCTTTATGAATAAAAGGAAGATAACCATCAACACTCAGATCACAAGATGATAAAGCTGAACTCAAATTAGTCTCACAAAGAGCAAGTAGGTCTGGCAAACTTTGCAAGAGATAAAACTCAACAGAAAAAAAGCTACTTCGAAGACCATGAATATTAGTAAACGATCTTGGTGATGACAATTGTTTTTTATGTTTTATCGTTTTTGGTACTTTTTTTTTTTTAAATTTGTTAAAGAACTTGACTGGAAGCATAGATAGTACTCAGTACACTGTTTAATAGCCCAAGCAATTCCCTTATTACTATTAATAAACCCTAAGCCATAACTTTAATGTGGCCTTGGCAATGCACACCAAGGATAAAAATAGGGACACCATCCATGGGCAACATTGCACTGTTGATACTTTGATATTTTTCAGCTGTTGATGGAATCAGCTTCTCTGAGAGTTACCACAGAGTTCGGGAAACCTGACTACCAACCGGCCTCAGAATCATAAAACTGAGTTTTAGAGCTGTACCCTTATTAGGAGATACTAGAATAAGTTGCCTAGTCATAAAAAGAGATACACAAGCAAAACTCATGCATCGAGTCAAGAAGATCCAGCATTCAACATCCTAAACTGGAAACAATGTATTAAAAATACATCTGCGCCAGCCTAATAGGTAAAGAAGGGGTGCGAGGCTGGTCAACAGATAGAATCTGTTTACCCCTTTAGTCTTTGCCTAGGAGGCTTTCTACAAGACAGTAGCTGGATGCATTTAACATCTGCCCAAGATGAGTATTTTTATCGAGGCACCATCTCTAGCCTTTACTCAACCAAGAGCCCCTAGGCAGGGGGTGTTTTATGTTGGAGTTGCCATCTCCTAACTTTGGCTAAAAAGTTGTACTCTACAAAGTAGCAGGACATGAAGCAGTGTGTACTGGGTTGCATGTTACCAGTAGCAGGATAACTTGACCTGACATGTACCAGTAGCAGGATAACCTGACCTGACAAGCTTTACACATGATTCTGCATAGTTTTTCCTGTTATCAAAATATCCTTGCGTTTTCCCTTTTTTATTTAGTCTTTGCTGTTTTACAGTATATTAAATTAGTTTTAATCTACTGTAAAATTAAAATTATAAAAATTAATTTAACATAACTTTTTAATGTTCTTTGTTTTTTTACTTTTGTTTATTTCATTATTTAAATAACAACTTTAAAAGAGTTGAGAGAGGATTGTAACCACAATAAAGTAGCCTTTTTGACTGTAGTGCCCTTTTTAGCCTTGGTGATGTGAACATTAAAAAAATAATAACTTTTGTAAATAATAATATTATTTGAAGGTTTGTATTTACTTATTTTTATGAAAGCTAAAAGGAGGGCAATTAGAATTAGAGTTAATTTTTAATATTCTCATTAATGGGTGGTATAAACTTGGATTTTTTTAAATTGAGGATAGGGAGAAAATGTTGAATGATATAAAGGAAAAGAGCACAAAAGTTTATAAGTAAAAAAAAAACTATTAGATGAACTTTTTTTTGCTAAATTAAATTCTTTTTCGTAGTTAGCATAAAAAAGTAAAATTATGTTCTTTTTTTTATTGTAAAATAATGTTCTTTTTTTTTTTACTGTTAAATTATGTTCTTTTTGTAGTAAGCATATGTTGAATATGTTGAAAATAATATAAAAATAAAATATGTAGTTTTTGTTTTAGAGCACTACAACGAATTAATGGCGAAAATATTTTTGGTTACACTATTAATGTATCTTTCCATTTTGAAAAGAACAAGAAAATTAAGAACAACGAAAAAAAAATTCAAGCTGAACAACCTAGAGAACATGAAGATATTGAAAATAAAACAAGAAACAATTCAGCCAGTGGTGTTTACACCAATTTAAAAAAGTTTTCATCTGCATCTACTCCTATTTTAAATAGTGTTCATGGAAACTCTCGTAGAAAAAAAGGTATAAACAAACAAAATGCTAATCAAAACAAAGTTTTAAATGAAGAAATTGCATTTAAAAGTAACCAAAATGTTGTGAAATTTATGCCACCTCTAATAGAAAATAGCAAACAAAATGATGTCAATCACACACCATTTATTATTCCTCCATTAATGGAAGTATTCCCATTTGGAATGCCGAGTTTATGTAATGTAAATCCAGTGTTGCCTAATGGTTTAATAAAACCTCCTTTTAATAAAACAGAAATATTTAATGGCATTACCATTCAAGTTTCAAACTTAGATAAGTCTAAAGATTTTAAGGAGATCAAAAGTGGTCTAGATTTTTTATTCCGAAAGTATTCAAAGGTGTTGCATATATCTCAAGGTCAAACTTTTAGTAAAACATTAAATGCACTTGTCACAGTAGCAAATATGCAGGATGCTCAACTTTGTATTTCAAAGTTAGATAACTGTTTGTTGTTTAATCGTCCAATAAAATTATCACAATTAAACAAGGATAATATTGGTTTGGTTAAAATGAAAGAAAATGTAGAAGCTATTTTATGTGAAACATTTTCTGGGTGGCTTCCATTACAAGACTTTCTTCTAAAGTACAAAGTTAAACATGAACAGCCATTTCATGTCTTAAACTTTGAGCATATGAAAGACTTAATTTATATTGATGGGAAGCCTGGTTATCAATTTATATGCCTACTTTCATTTCGTGTTGGTTTAACATTAAAACTTGATATTGAGTTTCAAGGAAAACTTGAAGGTGTTTTGCTGTCTCACAATCGCAAAGTTCCATTAGCAAGGTATTTTCTTTATATTTAACTATTTATGTGTGAGTACATATTAATTATAAATGACAATATCTCTGTATAATATTTAATAATATAATTTTTTATATTTTTACATAAATATAATATTTAATAATTTTTTGTGTTTTTTGAGACTCAATAATTAGTTTTATTTTTAAATCTAAAAATAGTTTTACTTCACTAACTTTGTATCTAAATCAAGATACAAAAAAATATAGATACAATAATTACTGTGACTGGGTAGAAATGAAGTTTTGTCAAAATTCTGTGTTTAAAATCTACACATAATTCATGGATTCTGTTTGGTTGCAAGATTATTTTAGTTTAATTTTATAAATATTTCATTCAAATTCTTGTTTTAAAATACCTTGTTTTGAATTTATAAAGAAGATAAAATAAAATAAAGTAACTAAATTTGTATATAGTGTAATAAATATTGATTTTGTTTTTTTTTTATTTTTTTTTTCTTTTCTTTTGCAACTTCTGAAGTAGATTAAAATAACTTATAAACAAAAAAAAGTTTTTCAATAACTCTTTTTTTATTTTACTAAATGTAATGATTTACTAAAGGAGGTTAAAAAATAATACTCATTTACTTAAGGAGGTTACTTCAATTAATTAAATAAAAGTGAAAAAATCACAGTGTCCCTGCTGTAAGGAAATTTGACAGAAGTCTTTCTGTATGTAGGAATCATTTTGCAAAAAAACAAAATTTGCCTTCGAAAAAAAAAGTCTCTAATTACTGAATTTGGATGGCGCCCAAATATGATTGGCGCTGTTGATAATGGTCTAGAATAGCCTCTGCTGAGTTATTGATGATGAATTTTCAGATAAGTTGTTCAGTACAATTACATGTGAATCTGGATGTTGTTTTAGTATCTCAGTAAGTTAGCTGTTATCTGAAATCATTTTAGGCTACAATAAACTTTTATTACAAATAACTGACAAATCCAATTACAAAAAAGTTAAAAATCTTCTTGTTAAGGATATTGCAAACACTGCAAAGTCCGTACTGAAATCCTAACTTGGAGAAGCTCTTTAATACTTTTGCTTGTTTTTAATGGTTAGAGGTATTTCTTTGCATTTACAAAAAGTATCTTATAGAAAAGAATATTGAATTGAAGAATATTGAATTGAATTGTATGTTTTTGCTCTCAGAATAATAAAGTACTATTTTGGAGATTTTTGAAGATCTTTTTGATTAGAGGAAAAAAATTTCTCTCAATCCGTTAATAGTTTTTTTTAATGTCAACCAAATAATCTTCTGAATTGATTATTATTGGCAATCAATAATTAAATAAATGAAATAAAATTCTTTTAATTAAATTTTTAAATCAAAACAAACTTTTATAAGCTCTTTTTAAAAAAATTGATAGAGAATAAATAAACTGGGGTAATAAGTTTTTGCTGACTTCTTAGCAAAAGATATGCTGGAATTATTTAAGATACAAATCAAGTTTTGTTTGGGCACATTCCATTTGTTTGGGGAAAATCCAATAATGCATAGGATTGATGCAATAAGATCTTTGATTAGAAATTTCAGAAACTGTTAGATCTTGGTTGTGATCAAAGACTAAAAACAATAAACCAAACATTTCTATTTTGTTTGAGAATCAACAAAACTGCATTTTAACCAAATTAATAAGATGGAAGATGCTTAAAGGGATCCCAAACTCCCGACACATGTTGTGTTCATATTAAAGATAATGTTAAAAAAAAAGGTTTGAACCAAGTTTTTTTGATTAAAAATAAATAATGAATGCATACCAAGAAAAACTAATGTTGTTGTTTTAGCCAAAGCTCGCCTTCTCCATTTTTTTTAATAACTCGGAATCTTTAAACTATACGTCACAATCTACAGACTTTGGCGATTCCTTTGTAGCGCGTTTAATTCATAAAAGTTTTAGTATTTGACGTCACCGTAGACTTTTAACTAATGAAACTCTGGAAATATTTTTATTTATTTTTATTCGAACTTTTTTTGATTATTTGTTAAGTTTTTTTTTTTCTATTTTTAACATTTAGAAAGATATTAAAAACCTCAAATATTTTATGCTGGTTCTTTGCTATAAATTGTTATTGCGCCATATATTTAATGTTTACAAATTATGAATATTTATTATCTCAATCAAGACTCTGATAAAAAATTGTTTTACATTAATTACCCTTATAAAATTAGTAAAAGCATTTTTATTTGGTTAGATAATATTTCGTCTCAATTTGCTTGGCATGAAGTTCGAGAAGTCAAGCGATAAAAATTAGTTTGAATAATCACTTTGAAATATATTCAAAACAAATTATTTTAATGAAGGGGGTTTTTAATAACAAATGTAGGTAGAAAATAAATAATTAAATAAAAAGTTCAACATTAAACATCATTTCTTTATTGTATTGCAACTGTAAATATTGAAATATTAACTTGAACTAAATTTACTTAATATTTAGAACGACTAAGCAATAAAAATAAAAAGCCCCTAAAATTATGCGATATTGTGTTGTTTATTTGATAATTGCTGTTGGTAATGTTGTTTATGTTGATTATTGTCATTAATATCAAAATAGTCCCAGATTAATCTGTTAGTTGCTTTGTTCATTGTTGCTTTATTTCTAATTTAATTTTATCTCTAAGTATAAATTTATGTTAAGAAAGAAAAATTTTTATTTCATCGCTCGCTCTTTTTATAAAAGAGTAGAACAAAAGAGAAAGAAAAGTTTCGTGTAATTAAACTTCAATGAATAAAAGAGTTGTATAGAATTTTTTTTTTTTTTTTTTTTGCGTCACTCGTTCTCTTTTTAGATGAGAGAAATAAAAGTTTAATAGTAACTTTTCTTTAAATAAATGAAAATTGAAAGAGAAAAGTGCTTGAAAATTTGTATTTGTTGTGTTATAAAATTTTTTAAATTTATTATGTTAACAGACAAATGCCAAATACAATACAAATTAGGAAATACCAAATATAATAAGTTTTTTAACGCGCGTTATGACATTTTGACAATTTAAATTACAATTTATCTTGAATTATTGCCATTAATTAATGTGTTAATTATTGCGTTAAATAAAAATAATTTGTCCGTATTTTTCTTAAATATTAGTTGTATAAAATGGGCGAAAATATACAAACTTCATGTTTTTATTTGATGGTTATAAAATATTGAACAGTAAACTAATAATCAAAATTTATAATGCCGACTTGTGTTGTTATTAATTGTACTTTTAATGCAAAACCAAGATCTCACATATCCTTTCACAAATTTGCATATCTGATACTACTGTCAACTGTATTGTTTAGTGTATTCTTGTACTTTTTTTTCATAACCTTAACAGGTTCTAATTGGTATGGAGTTGCTGACATTTTAAAAGTTTTATTATGAAAAATCAAATGTAAAATAAAATGATATTTCTTTTTTATCCGTATCCAATTTAGTAAATTTAGCAATAAATTAGCGTAATCAAAAAATTTTTATAATAAAAAAAGTTAACAATTCATCATATATCTCTAATTAATACTGTCAGTTTATGAAATTATTTGTTAATACTTTTTTTCAACAGGAAAACAAAAAATATCATAGCGTAAAAATAACCAAAGAAGTTAGAAAATAGTTCCCATTGTTCAAATAAAAATAAGTAAGATTCAGAATAAAAAAAAGTTCCTCTTATGAAATAAAAAGCTTTTATTATTTTTGATTTTTACAAAAATATGTCGTAAAAGTTGTTTTGCTGTATGTTAAAAATTTTTTTTTTGAATTAAAATAGAAAAACGCAGCTTTGTTTAATTACACTTTTCTTTTGTTAAAAAATTTACAGTGACGTCAAATACTAAAACTTTTATAAATTAAACGCGCTTCGAAGGAATCGCCAAAGTCTGTAGATTGCGACTTATAATTTAAAGACTCCGAGTTATTCAAAAAAATGGAGAAGGCGAGCTTCGGCTAAAACAACAACATTAGTTTTTCACGGTATGCATTTATTATTTATTTTTAATCAAAAAAACTTGGTTTAAACCTTTTTTTTTTAACATTATCTTTAATATGAACACAACATGTATTGGAAGTTTGGGATCCCTTTAAAGCATATACTTTATAAGGGTATTATTCCCATTCTTATAATGATGTTTTGCACTTGATTAAAAATGTTTTTCAATCAAGCACAAAACAATATCGTTTTTTAATAATATTTATTGATTATTATCCAAAGATTGCATTGTCTGTGAACATAGATTGCTACCTAGAACATCATCAGGAGTTAGGTTGTGACAATAGTGCAGGTTGCTTTTTGACCGCATACAAGTTTGTTTCCATATGTTTCCACATAACTCTAAGGCACTTATTAATAGAAGACTGACTTTTGATGCAATTAGTCTTTGTATAAGTTTTTTTAAGGGCTATTTTGAGAGAGAAGTAAAAAAGAAAATAACAGTTAGAGTATTAAAAGTAATTATTTTTTGTACTATTGTAAGTATAACCTTTATCATTGCCAGTTTTTTGTACTATTGTAAGTATAACTTTTATCAATGCCAGTTTTTTGTACTATTGTAAGTATAACCTTTATCAATGCCAGTTTTGTAATCTTACTCTGCGGTAATTCTTATTTTTGTTACTGTAGAGTTTTGTGGGTGTAAATTATGATAATGTATTAATTTTTTTTTACATTTTTTTAATGCTTTTTTGTCAAATTTGTTTTTTTAACTCTTAGTCTTCCAGGTCTTTATTGGAGCTATCAGCAAAACCTCCTTCCATTGGGTAAAGGAGGAATTCCATTAAATCATGTTTTGAGTAAAAATATCACTCTTGTTGGTTTGCCAGGATCACAAGCAGTTTTTCATAAAAAGTTACCTTCAGTGAATGGTAAATATATATATATATATATATATATATATATATATATATATATATATATATATATATATATATGTATATATATATATATATATGTATATATATATGTATATATATATATATATATATATATATATATATATATATATATATATATATATATATATATATATATATATATATATATATATATATATATATATATATATATATATATATATATATATATATATATATATATATAAAGTAAATTCCCGGTTTCGATTCTCCATAGCGAATAAAAATTTACCTTAAACAACTGAAATTTTCAAATAAGCTAGTTTAATTTATCCACTTTAAAATTACTTATTTTAAATTACTATATATTTTTCATAAAAATGAATTAGACGATGAAATAAAATATTGCATAAGGTATTGAAATAAAATGTTGCATAAGATGTTGAAATAAAATGTTGCGTAAGATGTTGAAATAAAATGTTGCGTAAGATATTAAATAAGATTAATTGAAAAAAAAAATAAAAAATTTGTTTACATGTAAAATAATAAAAATTTTACAATTAAATTTTTTTTTGAAAGAGTGTACTGTTGTTAGAAACAGATCATCATTTAAGTAACTTTATTGAACCTGCAATTTCTGATTTTCTGCAATTATAGCTATATAATAATTATAGCTTTTTAGCTGGAACATTGTTTTTCTTGTTGCGATAATTAACTAATTAAATAAATTACTCATTTACCAAAAAGATAAGGAAAACAGTATTTTATCTTTTATAAAGTAAATACAGTATTTTACTTTTTAAGAACTGTAAGATTTTTAACATAAAAAAGTATTTTTTGGGAACAACAAAATTATGTGAATATGTGAAAATTTGAATATCTGATGAGTTTTTTTTGCCAAAAATTACTTTAAATATTCAAATTTTTGAGTAACTATTTACATAGGTTTGTTAAGGAAAATGAAACCGAAAATTGCTTTGAAAAAATGGGAACTTTTAATAAATGCTGGTTATATAAACATGAAGTCAACTGTATTTTTTAAATCCAAAGGTAATTGTTTTTGCAAGTTTTGGAATTCAAAAAAATATATATATATATGTATATATATATTAATAGATATATACACAGGCCTTGTTTTAAAACGTTAAGCGTAGAGCGATTTACGTCTGCCTTTTCATCATTCTCTTTATCATTTTTTTTAACTTTTAAATTATACTATAAGCGGTAAGATAAATAAAGTAATTAATTTAAAAATAAGTTACATTAATTTTTGAATGACGTTTATGTAAAAATATTTGTTACAAAAGTTTGAATCACAATTATGTTTGATATAAACGCTAACTAAGTAATATATATAAATAATAAATTTAAATAATTATTTTTTTTCATTAGTAAATATTTACTTATGAAACAAACTCAAATAAAATCAAAAGTTTATTTTTATTTTTATTTTTTTATTGTAATGATTGATTTTTTAAGCTTGAAGCAAAGATTATAAAAACATGATTTAATTTTAATAAAAAATAGATGATTTAATTCAATACTAATTTAATAAAAATAAATAATTTTATTCTTATAAAAATACATATAAATTAATTTAGATTTAAAAAATATATAATTTAATTTTGATTTAAAAAATATATTTAAGTTGATTAAAATTAAGTTAATGCTTCGGTTTAACTTTACTGTCAAATCTATTTAAAAATATTACTAAATATTGTTTAATTTTTAAATTTTATTTGTTTTTTAAAAAAAATGAGCTTATTTTTATTGCAATTGTTTTTTCAGTTTTGTGAAGCTTTTATTCCTTGTCAGTTTCGAGTCAATCCACATTCTACTCCATAGTTTTCACCATCTTGTGCCGCTGCTTTATCTATCTGTAATCATTTTTTTATCTTTTCGAAAAGAACAACTCTCGTGTGAACAATGCCTAATTATTATTGCAAGAAATCAATGCAAAAGGGTGCTGTCTGATTCTAAACTCAATTATTCCCAGTTCACTAAATCTCATTTCAGAAGTTAGGCTTTTTAGAGATTTTTGTAAAACCTTCAACAGCATCTTTAACAAAGGTAGGCCTAACATTCCATCTCTCACTCACGGGACTGATCTTATTACCTCTCTTAAGGACAAGGCTGAACTATTTGCAAAGAACTTTTCAACTAATTTGACTCTTGAATCTTATTACCATACTCTCTCTTCCATTCCACATTAACAGGTTGACCCATTGACCACTAAAGTCAGACATTCAGACCACTCTAGTTTTCATTGCTTAAATCTCAATTAAACTCTTCTACGGCTTGTGGTCCAGACAATTTTCCTGTCTTAGTCTTACAAATGTGTTTTCCAGAACTTTCTTCAATTCTTTTTAAACTATTCAATAAGTGTTTTTCTGAATCTTGTTTTCCTACCTGCTGGAAAATGCCATCTGTAGTTCCAATTTTTTAAAAACTCTGGTGAACATTGTGACCACTTCAACTATTGTCTAATCAGCCTTCTATCTGTTATTAGCAAGGTTTTTGAGTCTTTGATTAACAAATTTCTTACATCCAATCTTGAGTCAAATAATTTACTGTCAGATAATCAATACAGTTTTCGATCTTCTCGCTCAATGGCTAATTTGCTAACTGCTGTGACTGAAAATTTTTATCGTGCATTAGATGAAGGTGACAAACCTAAAGCTATTGCTCTTGATATATCTAAAGCTTTTGATAAAGTTTGGCATGCTGGTCTTCTTCATAAGCTTGCTTCATATAATATTTCTGTGAAAGTTTTTGAGATTACCAAATTGTTTCTTTCTTTATTTTCGCTTTATTAAAGTCATCCTCAAAGGCTGACACTCTTTTTTATTCTCAGTGACTTCTAGGGTACCTCAAGGCTCTATCCTTGGTCTTCTTTTGTTTTCTTCCTGACAACCTTAAATCTACAGTAGCTCTTTTTGCTGATGACTTAACATTATACTCCTGTCTTGACAAAAAAATCTTTTCTTTTGATTGCTTAGAACAGACAGCTGATCTTGAATCTGATCTCACTTTTTTAACAGATTTGGGCTCACAATGGTATGTATATTTTAACTTTAAAAAAACTTAGTTATTTACTGCAAACAACTATCGCAACGCTGTCAACATTCCTATATTGATGAATGGCAACCCTATCACTGAGTTCTTTTCTATACATCTTCTTGGATTATTGTTAACTTTATCTCATAAAAAACATTATATACAATTGATTACTAAGTTAGCATCTGCTAAGGTTGCTATTCTTTATCATGCTTGCTATTTTCTTACTCCTGATTCCATTTTCTGCCTCTATAAATTTGTTATTTGACTCTGTATGGAATACTGTTGTCATACTTGCTGGTTCTTATAATTCTAATGCTAGTTCTTTCTTTCTCTTCTAGACAAGGTCCAAAAACATATAGTACATGAAGTTGGACCTGCTTTATTGGCTAAGCTTGAGCCTCTTTCCCATATTTGTAAAGTTGCATCTCTTTCTCTATTCTACAAATACTATGATGGTTGCTGCTCAAAGGAGCTACCTGGTAGATGAAACTGTACCGACAGGTACAGTTTCATCTACCAAAACTCATTCTGTCATTAAGCAATGTCTTATTCGTTTACTGTACCTGTCCCTGCATGCTCAAAAAATTTTATTCGTTTAGTTTTTCCTGCACTTCAACCTTTAGGAACTCTCTCTCCTCACCATGTTTTCCTGTCTTAACCTACAACTCTTTAAGTTTTCTAATACAACCTTCAACTTTTTAAGTTTTCTGTCAACTCTACTCTTTATATTCTATATAATTATAGCTCTATAACTCTATTCTTTTTATTCTAGTGACTCCCAACTTAATAGTGATTTTCTGCAGCCTTGTTGGGAGTAATTCTGAATTTTTTTTTTTAAATATATATATATATATATATATATATATATATATATATATATATATATATATATATATATATATAATTATATAGTTTGCGAATGGGAGTGCACTTTGTTATGTTGTATATGTCTTTTCTGTGAACTGTATACAAATTTATACACATAAAATATATATATATATATATATATATATATATATATATATATATATATATATATATATATATATATAAATATCAGGCCTTGCGATAAAGCGTCGGGTGATGTGAATTTTACGTCGTCCAAGAGCGATTTTGCGTGTAGCTAGGGCTATTTGCGTCGAGCAAAAAATTTTTTGTTTGAGTATATTTAAAGATATTTTTGAGCGGAATTTTTAATGAAGTAATTCACGATTATTTTAACATTTAATAAAGTATTTTAAAAACCGCACGCAGTTGAAATAAAAGTTTGAATTAAAAAAAATTAAATATACTCATTATTTACAAGAAGAAAAAATTCAGATTAAAAAAAAAAGTTTAAATCTTTTAAGCTAACATTTTGATAAAATTATTCAGCAATAGCAAAGTTGTCGATAAAATTGAACAAAAATACTTTCTTTTAGTTTTAGATTTTAAACTTAAATAATTATTTTACGTGGGTTTGTTAGGTTTTAAAATTATTCCATAGATTTAAAAATATTTATTAACTGTTAGACGTATTTAAAGTATTTAAGAGTAATTTCGAGGAAACATTTTAAAAATTGGTGAGCGCAAATAAAAAAAAAAAAAGGATTAATATTAAAACGTATTCTACTTGATTCAATAAAAAAGTACAGTTATTAAAATTTTTGTAAAAAGTAACTCAAAAAAATTACTTAATAACGATCGCTTTTATGTTAAAAGTTACCGAAACTCAACAAAGCGTGCTCAAGAACAGCTGCTGAAAAATAAAACGTCAATAGTTTTTCGAATAATTTTTAATAATAATTTTTAAGAATAATTTTTTCGCTGATATATTTCTTTTATACCTATAAAATTTTTAATCTAACATTTTATTTTATTTTACTAGAAATAAAATTCCTTCAAAACGTGACAAACGTCGAGAAAATAAACAAATGTTTTTACATTTTAAAAAACGAAACATTCCAAAACATTTTTAAATAATAACATTTCTACATAAACAATTTAAAGTAGTTTTGCGGTAATTAAGTAAATTGGCCCAGTTCATGTCGATAAATATGAAAAGCAAATAAAAAGAATTTAATGACGTCAAAAATCACATCGTGCTTATGCGTCGCGCAGTTCTTATTCATCGCAAGGCCTGAAATATATATTACTTTATATTGGGTTTTATTATAATTACATTATATTTCTACTTTACATTGCATGTAAAGTAAAAAGTACATATTTTTTTATACTGTTTGCAGTTTATTGTTTAAATATTTCTTGCTAATAGGTTACTCTTTATCAAGTTTTCAGTCAGAAATTATTTTGTTGTTAAAAATGTCTCCAAAATTTGAAATTCCTTGGAATCGTTTCTGTCTTCACTATAACCTATTTTTTGGTCGTGAGCTGTGCTTTCAAGATTTTAAATGTAATGATCTTGAAGAATTGATTAGTAAAGTTTCTGAAATAGTGAAGGTATTTATTATTCAATTTTAATTGTTCTATAAAACATATGTGTAATTATTAAAACATACCAAAGAGATATAAGTACAATCTATTAAAATTGTTGTACTTCTTTTATTTTATTTTTGTCCTTTCTAAAACAAGGTTTTTAATTGGACAAATTTTAAATTAGCAAACACTAATAAACACAAAAGCATTCTTATTAAATTTTTACCTTGGAGTTTAATTAAAGCTGTAATCCTGTAATAGTGTACCGTTATGGGTCTAAAAAAAGAATTTTTTCCAGAATTTTTTCCAAATGTAAGGCACTTTGGGATTGATATTCGGACAAACATTGCACAGAAACAAAAAAATTTCTTAAAAACGCTAGTGGTTGTGGGATTGATATTCGGACAAACATTGCACAGAAACAAAAGAATTTCTTAAAAACGCTAGTGGTTGTGGGATTGATATTCGGACAAACATTGCACAGAAACAAAAGAATTTCTTAAAAACGCTAGTGGTTGTGGGATTGATATTCGAACAAACATTGCACAGAAACAAAAGAATTTCTTAAAAACGCTAGTGGTTGTGGGATTGATATTCGAACAAACATTGCACAGAAACAAAAGAATTTCTTAAAAACGCTAGTGGTTGTGGGATTGATATTCGAACAAACATTGCACAGAAACAAAAGAATTTCTTAAAAACGCTAGTGGTTGTGGGATTGATATTCGAACAAACATTGCACAGAAACAAAAGAACTTCTTAAAAACGCTAGTGGTTGTGGGATTGATATTCGAACAAACATTGCACAGAAACAAAAGAATTTCTTAAAAACGCTAGTGGTTGTGGGATTGATATTCGAACAAACATTGCACAGAAACAAAAGAATTTCTTAAAAACGCTAGTGGTTGTGGGATTGATATTCGAACAAACATTGCACAGAAACAAAAGAACTTCTTAAAAACGCTAGTGGTTGTGGGATTGATATTCGGACAAACATTGCACAGAAACAAAAGAATTTCTTAAAAACGCTAGTGGTTGTGGGATTGATATTCGGACAAACAAACAATTTGACATCACCATAACGGTACGCTATTATTATTTTGTTAAATTATCAGCAATAAATAGTTATTATTTAAAAAAAAAAAAAATTATTAAATTAATTTTTACATACTGTCTAACTTATCTGCTTTCTTTGAGTAAAATGACATTGAACAAGAAGAAATTTCAAGACGTTTTTCGAATTTACCTGACACACATTTGCACTTGGTAGAAGTTCATTCAATGTCAGAGTTAAAGATGTTCCCGAATGTGCACAAAAGGAGTTTATTGAACTCCTTATCAGTAATGCAGCAAAAAATAGTTTTTTCTCAATATCGATGACCAAATTCATTTAGTCATACCCTGTATTGTTTGAGTTTTTCTGCTGTTTTTTCCTTTTCCAATTGTTGTAAAACAGGCTTTGTTGTTGTTTTTCTAGCTTGTTGTGCATGTACATTGCACAATTCGTTTTGTGCATTTAGGTTGTACATTATATAATAAAAAGTTATACACAATCAAAAATTTAAAATTGAGGCTTTCTAAAATGTTTACAATGTAAACATTTTATTCATTTGCAAATATTAATCAATACATGTAACTTGTAATTGTTTTGTTGATAAATTGCTTCAGATCAATTATAAAAAAAAATTGTAACAAAAACATATGTTGCCTATAAAGTATAAAATATAAATAAAATTAAATAAACAAAAAAAAAGTATTAAAATGGAATTGGTGTATCTTGTTGTACCTTTGGTTGCTTAAGTTGGAAAAAAAGGAGATTGGTTAGGTTTTAATTAAATTCTATTTAGAACAACAAAAAAGGAAAAACGAAAGAAGAAATTTATAAATAAGAAGCATTAAACAAAGAGGAATGGGCGTTTATCTTGTTTTATTGCTGAATAAAACAATATTGCATTAAACTAGATGAATGGGCATTTATCTTGTTTTATTGCTGAATAAAATACTTAATAATGTTATTTCTACAGAAATGACTTATTGTATTTCTATGGAATTGACTTATTGAATAGCATTATGGTAGTAATTTGTGCAACAATTTATATAAATAAAAGTGTTGTTTCCTAACCAATTGTCAAACAATTTTGATTTGAAAATGCTCTTTATATAATATTTCTATACTTATCTATTCCACACCGATCATTTCATTACATATTCTTTATTTGCTTCAATCTTTTTTTATAAAATAATTCATTCTGAAAAATTGCTTTAAGAGCAACAAAATGACCATACGCACCTTTTCCGCATATGTAGAGCTTATAAAAAATTTATAATTTGGTTTGTTTTTCTCCTTAACGCATATCATTGATAGCTCAGTGGTTTTGTGCAGTTTCATCAGTGTTTCTTCATCTTTTCTTTTCCAGTAACTTCCAACGCTAATTAGTGGTTGCTTGCAGCCTTGTTGGAAGCGATGATGTTTAAAAAAATAAATATATATATATATATATATATATATATATATATATATATATATATATATATATATATATATATATATATATATATATATATATATATATATATATATATATATATATATATATATTAAAAAAATTTTTAAGGACATTTTAGTTCCATAAAGTCTTTCCCATGATAATAGCATTCTACAAATGCATCAGGACTTGTACTAATCTTAGGGAATTTTTCAATGACATGCAATCTTCTCATTTTAAAATTTTTATATTGTTCTAACATAATACTAAAATATTTTTCTCTAGTTTTGACTTCATTTTAAGTTTCATATTTTGTAGTTAATGTTCCATTAAAAGATTTATAATTTTATTAATAAAACATTTGCTCTCATTTTTAAGCAAGTTAAATTTTTTGTGAAAGTGGTAGGCAGTAGTTCTACTACATTAATGCTCTTTCTAACACTGAAAAATGCCGTGGACTTTTTATCATGAGTTATCATAAGGTAATCATGCTTTTTGTAAAGTTTAAATTGTTTTTTATCTTTATTTATTAAAACTTCTATTGAGAAGTTTATTAAACTCCGTTGGAATAAAAATGTTAAAGGTTTTGGGATATATGTTATATCAGTTTCTTCTGTTTATGTATATATATGTTATATCAGTTTCTTCTGTTTAAGTTTCATTAGAATACAAAAAATCATTTTATCAATACTATCAAATCCTATTAATTTTATTTCGTTAAATTTGGACTTTGAAATTTGATTTTGGTCATCTTGTGCAGGTTTCAACCTTAAAAAGAAGAGAAAAAATCAAAAAAGTCAAACTTGTTTGTTAAAGTAAAAAATATCCTGCAACCCAACTGCAGTTTTCATTCAAAATATATTCTTAGGATTTGTGAGGATCTATCAAAACATCATAAATATTTTTTTTCCCTGTCTTTGATTGGTAAGACCTAAAATGACAGCAGTTATTTTGTCTCACCTAGTCAAAGACAGGGAAAAAAACAGTTCTTTAAAAAATTATATTTGTGTCCACAAACAAAATAGTTAAAAGCCTTTAGCGATTTATATGCTGTCACATATCTACTTTTTAAACTTTGTGATTCTGCTAAATATGTGTATATATCACCATAACTGATTTCAGGAAACAAACTAGCATTACTTTTCCAAGTTTCCTCTTCAATACCATAAGGATCGGGAAGCAAAACATTAGTTTCTTTTCTTAACTTTTTCAATTAAAATCTTTTTTCAGGATTTGCAAGAGAATTAAAGTACGGATTAGATGAAATTTATTAAGTAATCCAAAATAGAATTCTTGCTTGTTTTTTATTTATACCTACCAACTACTGCGCATGCGTTAGTTTATGAAGAAAATTTAAACGTTTACAACTGGTCTACGTGAATATATTGCATTACTTATATGCATCATTGACATACTATTACAATTTTTATTTATTTAACAAACAAATACAGTCCTAATACCAATAATTAAAATAGAATATAACAGAAGCCATAAGCGTAACCAAGTGGTACTCTACAATTTTGTTTGTGCATTTTTTTATTGTAATTAATTAATGCAATGTAATGTAAATCATTGTCAAAACGTGTTGGAAATCTTGACAATTAAGATCATAAAACTTTTTCTTGACTGTTAGTTAAGGCACAGTGGTCTTGATTGTCAAGGTTTGTTTTCTAGAGTTATAGAGTTAAGAGAGGGTTGTAACCACAACTTAAGTAGCCTCTTTGACTGTAGTGGCCTTCATGGTCTTTAGGAGGTGAGTTAACATAAACTTTAAAATAAAAGGTAAATTTGAATCTAATGAATTCAAGGGATATATAATTGCCATTTGTGTTGTGTTTATGCTACCTAATAAGTAACATAATCACCACACCAATTTTCCATTTTTAACAATGACAAGAAATACTTAAAAGACTTTATCTGTTTATCTTAAAAATTCAACCAGAAAGTTATTTCTTTCATTATGATTGTTTTAAATTGATCAGTACTTAGAGAAGTTTTTATGTTTTCCTGTAGACCTTCAGCCACTTTTACATTGATTGAAAATGTATTCGCATTAGTTGGTGTTGAAATGATACATTCAAGCATTTTAAAATATGCTTGTAGACCTTCAAGCACCTTTACATTGATTGACCTGTAGACACTCAAGCCCTTTTACATCGATTGACTTGTAGACCTTTTAGCACTTTAGTTTTTTCACATTAGTTGGTGTTAAAGCGTTACATTGAGCTTAATCATCTTGCTACATAATCATGTTATTGCATCTCAAAACAACTTTTCAACAACTCATTTTCTCTAATAACATACTGATGTGGTTTTTTAATACTTTTTAGAGGTTTTTTCTCTGACAGGTATTGTACCACTTACTATTTGTTTAAGTTTGGAAAAATTCTCCCTCCCCATCATGTACTTTCTTTAATCTTTCATTTTTTATTATTAATTTTTTTTTATTCTTTATTCATCACTTACTCCCTATCATTTTCCTCACCATCGTGTATTTTCATAATCTCAGCTAATGAAAATTTTTTCACCTATTGAAAC